GTCCACGGCCAGCCCCGGAGCGGCCTTCTGCACCCAGTAACCAAAATATGGTTAATAGAACGATTTTTATTATAAGGGATTTCATTATTTCTGAAAAATAGTACGAAAAATAGAAACTGTAGTCACTGGTACTTGATTGAGATGAAAGTTTGATACATGAGGAAACATTTCAGCTTAGTACAGTGGTTGGTAAATGTGGCCCAAGAACTATAGACTAACCGAGGGTCATTAAGGCTGAATGTAACCAGTTCACAGCCAGTCAAGAATACTTAAGTCACCAAACTAAACTTCCAGTGTATATATACAATGAGATATATACACCGAGAAGTGTACATATATTGTTAGTTTAGAAAGACAAGTAAACAAACACGTTTCGGTCCTGGGACCTTGATCACCTCTGAGGTGATCAAGGTCCCAGGGCTGAAACGTTTTCTAATAAATATATCCTAGTGTTTGTTTACACTGTGTCTCTTAACCAATTTGTCGGTATCTCTTACCAAGGTTATACTATACATCTCATTATAAGAAGCCGGAGACAGGTACCAACGTAACAATGATGAGGGACCAGCTCAGCTTCCATACATTGTAATGATAATGATTCCCCGGGAAATGTATCATTATTAAATACATAATCAACTGTAATCACAAAGATTCATTATAACCGAAGGAAGCGTACACAGAACGTTTAGTACAAAACCACATGTAACATCTCTAGGTAGTACAAGTACTGCGTAGTTGTTGATGGTGATGGTAGCGACAGTGACACCGGCAGTGACAGTAGTAGTGACAGTAGTAGTGACAGTAGTAGTGACAGTAGTAGTGGCAGTAGTAGTGACAGTAGTAGTGACAGTAGTAGTGACAGTAGTAGTGACAGTAGTAGTGACAGTAGTAGTGGCAGTAGTAGTGGCAGTAGTAGAGACAGTAGTAGTGACAGTAGTAGTGACAGTAGTAGTGACAGTAGTAGTGGCAGTAGTAGTGGCAGTAGTAGTGACAGTAGTAGTGACAGTAGTAGTGACAGTAGTAGTGACAGTAGTAGTGACAGTAGTAGTGACAGTAGTAGTGGCAGTTGTAGTGGCAGTAATAGTGGGTAGTGACAGTAGTAGTGACAGTAGTAGTGACAGTAGTAGTGGCAGTTGTGGTGGCAGTAATAGTGGGTAGTGACAGTAGTAGTGACAGTAGTAGTGACAGTAGTAGTGACAGTAGTAGTGACAGTAGTAGTGACAGTAGTAGTGACAGTAGTAGTGACAGTAGTAGTGGCAGTTGTAGTGGCAGTTGTAGTGGCAGTAATAGCGGGTAGTGACAGTAGTAGTGACAGTAGTAGTGACAGTAGTAGTGACAGTAGTAGTGACAGTAGTAGTGGCAGTTGTAGTGGCAGTAATAGTGGGTAGTGACAGTAGTAGTGACAGTAGTAGTGACAGTAGTAGTGACAGTAGTAGTGGCAGTTGTAGTGGCAGTAATAGTGACAGTAGCAGTGACAGTAGTAGTGACAGTAGTAGTGACAGTAGTAGTGACAGTAGTAGTGACAGTAGTAGTGACAGTAGTAGTGGCAGTTGTAGTGGCAGTAATAGTGGGTAGTGACAGTAGTAGTGACAGTAGTAGTGACAGTAGTAGTGACAGTAGTAGTGACAGTAGTAGTGACAGTAGTAGTGACAGTAGTAGTGGCAGTTGTAGTGGCAGTAATAGTGGGTAGTGACAGTAGTAGTGACAGTAGTAGTGACAGTAGTAGTGACAGTAGTAGTGACAGTAGTAGTGACAGTAGTAGTGACAGTAGTAGTGACAGTAGTAGTGGCAGTTGTAGTGACAGTAGTAGTGACAGAAGTAGTGACAGTTTCAGTGACAGTAGTAGTGGCAGTTTCTCACCTGGTCAGGTATCTCCAATACAGGGAGGGTAGAACCTCCACTCTCATACAAGGAGGGAGGGTAGAACCTCCACTCTCATACAAGGAGGGAGGGTAGAACCTCCACTCTCATACAAGGAGGGAGGGTAGAACCTCCACTCTCATACAAGGAGGGAGGATAGAACCTCCACTCTCATACAAGGAGGGAGGTAGAACCTCCACTCTCATACAAGGAGGGAGGGTAGAACCTCCACTCTCATACAAGGAGGGAGGATAGAACCTCCACTCTCATACAAGGAGGGAGGGTAGAACCTCCACTCTCATACAAGGAGGGAGGATAGAACCTCCACTCTCATACAAGGAGGGAGGGTAGAACCTCCACTCTCATACAAGGAGGGAGGAGGTAGAACCTCCACTCTCATACAAGGAGGGAGGATAGAACCTCCACTCTCATACAAGGAGGGAGGGTAGAACCTCCACTCTCATACAAGGAGGGAGGATAGAACCTCCACTCTCATACAAGGAGGGAGGGTAGAACCTCCACTCTCATACAAGGAGGGAGGGTAGAACCTCCACTCTCATACAAGGAGGGAGGGTAGAACCTCACTCCATACAGAGGGGTGAACCTCACTCTCATACAAGGAGGGAGGGATAGAACCTCCACTCTCATACAAGGAGGGAGGGTAGAACCTCCACTCTCATACAAGGAGGGAGGATAGAACCTCCACTCTCATACAAGGAGGGAGGGTAGAACCTCCACTCTCATACAAGGAGGGAGGTAGAACCTCCACTCTCATACAAGGAGGGAGGATAGAACCTCCACTCTCATACAAGGAGGGAGGGATAGAACCTCCACTCTCATACAAGGAGGGAGGGTAGAACCTCCACTCTCATACAAGGAGGGAGGGTAGAACCTCCACTCTCATACAAGGAGGGAGGGTAGAACCTCCACTCTCATACAAGGAGGGAGGATAGAACCTCCACTCTCATACAAGGAGGGAGGGTAGAACCTCCACTCTCATACAAGGAGGGAGGGTAGAACCTCCACTCTCATACAAGGAGGGAGGGTAGAACCTCCACTCTCATACAAGGAGGAGGTAGAACCTCCACTCTCATACAAGGAGGGAGGGATAGAACCTCCACTCTCATACAAGGAGGGAGGTAGAACCTCCACTCTCATACAAGGAGGGAGGGTAGAACCTCCATTCTCATACAAGGAGGGAGGGTAGAACCTCCACTCTCATACAAGGAGGGAGGATAGAACCTCCACTCTCATACAAGGAGGGAGGATAGAACCTCCACTCTCATACAAGGAGGGAGGATAGAACCTCCACACTCAGAGAAATGAATCATCCACACGTGTTTAGCTCTTCATTGTTAATTATTATCAATTATAATTTATTACTATTACTATTAAAAATTTTCCCACTTATCTAATTATATCTATCTTTCTATCTTTCCATATCTGTATCTATCTCTCCACGTATCCATGTTGCCATCTATCCTGGCATTATTATTATTATTATTATTATTATTATTATTATTATTATTATTATTATTATTATTATTATTATTATAACTAGTCATGTGAACACTGAGTCATGTCTACGTACAGTTCTGTAATGTCTTAATTTCATTAGTAAGATACCTTGATCTATCACATAGGTTCAAGAGATGACCATAACACTGGTCCCATATTTGGTATTTAGTTGTATCTCTCGTCTGTGTGTGTGTCAAACTGCCAGAAGAAGGTGCTTAAGCCTGTCAGAGATACTTGTAACCAAGTTTAAGTCTGTCAGAGATACTTGTAACCAAGTTTAAGTCTGTCAGAGATACTTGTAACCAAGTTTAAGTCTGTCAGAGATACTTTGTAACCAAGTTTAAAGTTCTGTCAGAGATACTTGTAACCAAGTTTAAGTCTGTCAGAGATACTTGTAACCAAGTTTAAGTCTGTCAGAGATACTTGTAACCAAGTTTAAGTCTGTCAGAGATACTTGTAACCAAGTTTAAGTCTGTCAGAGATACTTGTAACCAAGTTTAAGTCTGTCAGAGATACTTGTAACCAAGTTTAAGTCTGTCAGAGATACTTGTAACCAAGTTTAAGCCTGTCAGAGATACTTGTAACCAAGTTTAAGCCTGTCAGAGATACTTGTAACCAAGTTTAAGCCTGTCAGAGATACTTGTAACCAAGTTTAAGCCTGTCAGAGATACTTGTAACCAAGTTTAAGCCTGTCAGAGAGACTTATAACTAAGTGTAAGCCTGTCAGAGATACTGTAACCAAGTTTAAGCCTGTCAGAGAGACTTATAACTAAGTGTAAGCCTGTCAGAGATACTTGTGTCCAAGCCTGCCAGAGAGACATAACCAAGTCTAAGCCTGTCAGAGAGACTTATAACCAAGTGTAAGACTGTCAGAGATACTTATAACCAAGTGTAAGCCTGTCAGAGAGACTTATAACCAAGTGTAAGCCTGTCAGAGATACTTATAACCAAGTCTAATCCTGTCAGAGAGACTTATAACCAAGTCTAAGCCTGTCAGAGATGCTTATAACCAAGTCCAAGCCTTTAAGTAACTCGATAATACCTACGCAGTAACGAGCTCTGCTTCCCTGTGTACAGAGTAGAGATATTGCCCAAAGATGAGCCATGAACGAAAAGGGATCAAGAGCTCCTTTGTAAATAGAAAAAGAAAACGGTAGTTCCCAATTAGATAAGGTGGACCTCCATGACAAGCGTCTGCAGAGCGAGTCGCCAACACCCTCTCCTGGGTTTAGTAACCGGTTTCCCAATAAAACCGTAAAAAAAATGATCTTCCACGATGTTGGTGGAGAGCAGACGTATTATAAGTAAGCTTTATTCAGGTATACACAAATACAGTTACATAGATTATCATACATAGCAGTATAAGTGTAGTGGCCCTGGGATAACCCTAAAAAAGTCAAAGTGACTTATTTCCATTGGGATTTGCTCAGGGAGTAAGACTCATGGCTTTGCCGGTATTTAGGCCTGGGATCCACCTGATCTGATTTGAAGATTTAATCTTCCCGTTTCCCTTTCTGGAGAAAACTTTGCTTCCTTTCTCATCTACACCCAGATTTGGACATCATTTTGTTCCGGACTCCGGATAGTAAGGCTCAATAAAGCGCCAGGTTTGGTGGCCCTGAATTACCCCAACAACAAGAAGACGGTCCAAGTTAATTTGCAAGTGACGTTGATTGCAACAAGCAACTGTAGTGACCACAGACAACATTGAACCATCACAACGAGAGTCACAACTCGTCCAGTCATCAGGAGGAGAAATATCCAAGTAAACTGCAGTATTGTGAAGAAGCTGAGGTGGACACGGCTTCTCTGTTATTATTGTAATCATGGGGGAGCGCTAAACCCGTAGGATTATACAGTGCATGTAGGGGGGGGGGATGGAAGGTATTCAGGCTCAATTCAGGGAACTGGAGCACAGATCCAATTCCCTGGATCAAGAACCCCTCGCCAGCGTCAAGGAACATCCATTTTTACAAACGTTTATCACTCAATTTAGTCTTTCGTTCAGTCAAAAAATTAATTCTGAATAATTAATTGATTTCTTTTTTTGAAGGGGGTTATTTTTTAATTTTTATTATTATGAATCTCACTGTAATTAATAAGAACAAAAATGTCTTGATCTTTTCTTAGTTTATCTTAGGTAATTTACACTACGTGTGTACTTATGTGTATATGTACCTAAATAAACTTACTTATTAATGAAAGGAACACTGCAGTAGGCCTACTGGCCCTTGGAAAACGACCCTTCTGTACAATTCAGGACATTTATTGAATAAAACATATCACCACAAGTTGTTTATTATTATTATTATTATTATTATTATTATTATTATTATTATTATTATTATTATTATTATTGCTAACCTTATTAGGCAGGTTCAACTCGCACCCATCCATGTACTCACTCAACCCATATATTTAAAGGTACCCAAAATTCTTTCATCAGTGATGCTACCTGGGGGTTTCTTCCACTCATCTACAACTATATTGCCAAACCAGATTTGTCCACTGGAACCAGTTGGTGTGAGTCCTGTCTTTGTTGGATATTCTCAGCATCGTATTGATATCCCCTTTATTTTTTCGTGTTTTCCATTTGTGATGAATGGTTTTGAAAACTGACAGGTTGAAGAATTGAGACACTTATGCAACACATGGGAATCTTTATTGAAGAAACGTTTTGCCACACAGTGGCTTCATCAGTCCAATACAAAGTAGAAGTGGGTAAGGAGAGGAGGAGTTTGAGGTAATCAGTCCCTCAACCTAGAATCGATGTGTTCAGTCCATCACTCTTGTAGGAAGTACAGCATAGGGCCAGAGAAGTGGCTTATATACTGCAGTCAGGTGAGTCGAAGCAGGAGGAGGCGGAATCACAGTGGGACCTTCCACATGGGATCTTGGTACAAAGACTTCAACACTTGTCCAACCTTTGGACAACGACCTACTTACACTAGTGGATGGTTCCACTGTGATCCTGCCTCCTCCTGCTTCGACTCACCTGACTTCAGTATATAAGCCACTTCTCTGGCCCTATGCTGTACTTCCTACAAGAGTGATGGACTGAACACATCGATTCCAGGCTGAGGGACTGGTTACCTCAAACTCCTCCTCTCCTTACCCATTTCTGCTTTGTATTGGACTGATGAAACCACTGTGTGGCAAAACGTTTCTTCATTGAAGATTCCCGTATGTTGCATAAGTGTCTCAATTCTGTTTTTCATTTGTACACACCACTGTACATATCAGTCATCGTACACAGCCATTGTACACTTCAACTATTGTATATATCAATCACTGTACACATCAAGCACTGTACACATCAGTCATTTTACACATCAGTCATTGTATATGTACGTCTATCATTGTACACATCAATCATTGTCAAGTCAGTCAGTTGTGACAATGGACCAGGATAGACCTTAGTGTTATCACAATTTCTTCCTATCCTAAGTGTGAGTTATTTGTGAATTATTCCGGTCATGGTATTGTGACTTTTATTTTTCTGGAGTTAGATTTACTCATATGTCTCATGTCTCACTCCACTGAGATTGAACCCAGGTCCTTTCATTTGTGGGCCCCCCCTCAAGGGAGGTTCCTTGATGCTGGTGAGGGGCTCTTGATCTAGAGAATGCCTTCCATCCCCTCCTACCCCCAAGGTGCTGTATAATCCCTGCTGGTTTAGCACTCCCCATGTTAATAATAATTTGTGGGCCACAAAACACTATTGATCGTTATGAGATACCACTTTATCCTCTTCTGCTCTACAGTATTCACACATCATTGTGCGTGTATGGGGCTAAGGATGCCCATGGCCTGGTTGACAATGCTCTCACCTCACACATTGAGTGCTGTTGGAAACATTGGGCATATTTCCTTACACTAGCTGTCCCTGTCCATCTAGCAGTAAGTAGGTACCTAGATGTTAGCAGACTGGTGTGGGTCGCATCCTGAGGGACACGATTGAAAGGCCCAGTGGAAATAAGACAGACAGTCCACAATGACAGATTGACTTTATTGGGTTATACTGGGTGGCTAACCCTCCGGGTTAAAAATCCAAACAAATCATACTTTAAGGGGTTGGTGTGTACTTCCTGCATCTCACTGCTCATGACAGTGGGTGCACAGATAAAGGACATAGCTTATCAGTAATGCCATAAATAATTTTAAAAAAGACAGTTCAGATTTTATATTTGTTTGAAAAGGATCAGTTTTAGCATGAAAGAGTTAACTTGTTCATTCTTGCTTCCAGATTTGTTCACCGGATGTGGATGATAAATATCGTGTGAGAACTGTTACAATACTACAGTTATGATTGTGGGAAGAAATTGCCTTATAGCAAGGTAAAAATTATCAGAGTGAATATCAAAATGGTATACAGTACCTATAGTATACACTTACTAACCAAGTGTATACCAATACCATTGGTATGCACTTATCAACTTGTTGGTATTGTATTCCATTTTGATATAAAAAAAATTTTTTATATAATTTTGTACTAAGCATTTAAGAAAATAAATGGTAGCTATTAGCTATTGATTTTGAATTTGAAATTTTTGAGGTTTTCTTCTAACAACTTGAAACGTGTACATATTATGACACAGTTCCGGTGTGCATTCTCTATGAACTTTACACACTGCATTGCTCTTCCTACTTTCCTTACTTACATGTTGTAAAGTTATTTGGATTTCCATGATCAGTTAAGACTCTTGAATGCATAAGAGATAATATCTCTTAATTTACACATGGGAATCTTTTGAAACTTAACTTCCCTTATGTTGACACAAAAAAAAAAAATGACTTGAATCAGACCCAAAAATTAGTTTAGAGGTCTTATAAAAAAAGTCTGATTAATTAGGTACTGGTATCTAGGTTCGCTGCATTTCAGTAGTGTTAAGTTCCTTGGCAGAAAATTTTAACCATAAGTCAGCTTTCAGGAATAAAAGACCCATTTTAATTTGTTTCATTCAGTATTCAAATATTTTTGTTGGTCTTTGTAAGATTACTGAACCATAAAGGCCTGGTCACAGACCAGGCCGTGATGGTGTTGACCCCCGAAACCTTCTCCAGGTATACTCCAGGTATAGAATATGATGGGGGAGAGGAAAGGTAGGGAGGAAACTTTCCAAAATTTCAAGTGTTATAAAGTTATTGCATATTTTATATGTGCTCTGATAATACATGTAATACTCGTGTACCTGTACCCAAATATACGTACTTACACACTGTGCTGGCATGCAGGTACACATTAAAATCACTAAGAGTGTCCCTCCAGTCTTAATGCCATAGTAATACTAAATGTCTTATTTTATGTTAAATGTCTTATTTTACATTAATATAGACATTTTCATTAATCCATCTATGATATTTTCTTTAACCCCTTGACTGTCGCAACCCCCAATCCTGAGGTGTCTCCTGGTGTCACAAAATTTAAAAAAAAATAAATAAATTATTTTCTCTTATGAAATGAGAGAGAATCTTTTCTCGATTGTAATGACACCAAAAAAACGAAATTTGATGGAAAACTGATGGAATTACGCTCTCGTGAAGTTAGCGACCTTGGCAATATTTACAAATCGGCGATTTCGCCCACTTTGAACCCTATTTTCGGCTAATTCCATTGTTCCAGTCGACCTAACTCATAGCTATTTCTTTAGAACTCCGTTTTATCTATCGATTGAGTACAAGAAACTGCCCATTTACCAATTTCAACTACCCGATAACGTGGTCAGAAATTTGCAATTTGGCCAATTTTACGAAAATTAAAAAATATGACTATTTCAAAATAAGGTCCAGAATGAACAATGCAGACATTCCTGGCTCTAAAATGACATTTTCTTTGTTCATCAGTCATGTCTCCAGGCCCCTCTGATATTACTCTTGCTTTCTATTTTGAATTTTTATTCAAACAAAAAATAGAAGATTTACTATTATGCAGACTACTCCAGTACTGTAATAACTGTATAAATAACATCAACCCATTCATGACTGCATATTAGAATGGCTAGTTGGGCATTTATTGGACAATGATGTCATTTGTTTACTTTTGAACATCGGCAAAAATCAAACATTTCCCCTACTTTGAGCTCCATTTCCAGGCTCTTTTTATAGTAAAATCTATCAAAATCATCTCTTTTTCTATAATATGTTTTCCATTCTATCAAATGAGACCAAGAAAACGAGAATGCAACCATAAATACTATACGAAAATAGACCACAAAGTCGGCATTTTAATTAAAAAAAACGGTTGGAGTCTTTTTTTCTCATTATGGACTGTGTGCCCCAGGATTTTTTTTATGTGGTGCACACTGACCACACAGACCCATTCTCTCACATGTGGGCCCACCAGCTTTCTCCTTGATTTGAAGCCACTAGAATTTATGAGTACGTATATATACGTCAAACACAGGTACCTCGTAGGACGTATATATATGGCCGCGACAGTCAAAGGGTTAAAATTATATAAGAAACACGTTACATAGCATGTAAACGTGTTATGTTTATATGCTGTGGAAGTGTGGTAGCCGGGCAGAGGGAAAACATTGTTTTCTCTGGTCCAGCACCAGAGAAAACATGTTGGAATCTGCGTTTGGCCTAGTCACTCCCCTTAACACTCCGCTTTTGTTTGCAATTCTCAGCATGAATTATTCATTACTTCTCCCTTCGTTTATGATGGCATCTAAAGGTAGTTGTTAGAAACGATTAATTCATTGAACAAGGTACACCTACCATCCAACTTACGACCGAGTTCGGTTCCGAGAAACCGGTCGTAAGTCGAAATGGTTGTAAGTCGAACTTTACTACTGAATATCAACAAAACATTTTTGTAATGACTTTATTTTATTGTTTTATTTTGGTATTTCATGTTTTACTTTACTTTTTATGTTGTTAGCACTGTATTTTATACTGTAAGGTTTAGGATAAACACTGTGTACAACACAAATAGTTATTTATTTCCCAAAAATTTGGCATAAAAAACACGGTCGTAAGTCAAGTGGTCGTAAGTCGAGCAGGTCGTAAGTCGGATGGTAGGTGTATATCGATGGTAATAATATGGCTCTGGGCCGCAGTGTAGGTAGCCGGTAGATGTAGCGCAGGTGGGCTACATCTACCGGCTACCTGCACTGACTTCCAACACATAAATACTACTCACCTCTCATCCACCATTAAGACTACACATATTTTAAGGTAAATAATGAATGTACTGTATGTGTATTTTATCTCTCTGGGCTGCTTTAAATATATATTAAGCTAGGGATGGGAAGCCAGGACTACCTACACCTGACTTCCTACAAATAATTACTTCTCACCTCTCACCCTACATTAATAAAACTACAAATATTTTAAGGTAAGTAATGAATATACTGTGGATATATTTTACTTTTTATTGTGTTTTTTTAATATCTAGTTCTATGACTAACTTAATATAAGTTAGTGTAAACTTGTTGTCTGGCATTTATATGCATTTATAAGTGGAAAACAATGGCGTTCTGCTTTCTGGTGATGTCCGCTTTCTGATAGCCTGGAACCTAACCTGCCATATAAGTGGGGCCCTACTGTATAGAGGTACCAGCATTCATATGAGTGTCAGGCATGGGAAACAAATGTTTCAGTTAGGAGGAGGCTGAAGATTGTAGATGTCATGTTTGAGAGTAGTGTATGATGTGAATACAGGAGGGCCTCGCTTATACAGCAGGTAGGTTCCGAGCCACTTCTGTAAAGTGAAAATCACCATAAAGTGAAACATACATATCCTTCTTTTTTACTTTCAATTTCATATAAAAGCCTGATAACATATTTACACTATCATATATTAAGTAAGCAATAGAGTTAAGCCTTAAAAATGCACATACAATACACATACATGTATTACTTAGCTTAAAATACACAAATAACCTGCACATAGGAGAGAGGAGATTACGACAATCGTTTCGGTCCGACTTGAACCATTTACAAAGTCACACTAACAAAAAGGAGAGAAGGGGGGCAGCATATATAGGCCAGCAAACAGGGATGGGACAAGAGAGGTAGTAGGAAAGGCAGTAGAGAGGTAGTGGTATTAGTAGTACAGTGGACCCCCGGTTAACGATATTTTTTCACTCCAGAAGTATGTTCAGGTGCCAGTACTGACCGAATTTGTTCCCATAAGAAATATTGTGAAGTAGATTAGTCCATTTCAGACCCCCAAACATACACGTACAAATGCACTTACTTAAATATACTTACATAATTGGTCGCATTCGGAGGTAATCGTTATGCGGGGGTCCACTGTAGTAATAGTGGAGTCAGAGACCAAGAAAGAGGAGCACTGCAGGAGAGCTAGGGGCCCACAAAGGGTAGAAACAAAAACACAGGGGAGGGGGGGAAAGAACCAAACACCCAACACAGAAGAAAGAAAACCCAAAAAAGAAAGAGTTAAAAGGAAAGAGAAAGAGGGAGGAGAAAAAAGAATCAGGTTACACCATGGGTGTTCTGAAGTTTGGAACATTAAAGAATATAATAGGAAAGGAAGGCATCTGCAGAGACAAAGCCAGAACTAAGATTCATACAAGGAAAGTTGTGTATAAGGGAGGATTAAACTGGCCCCTTCTCTCCTTTCTGTTAGTGTGACTTTGTAAATGGTCCAAGTCGGACAGAAACATTATCGTAAGATCCTCTCCCCAAAGTGCAGGTTATTTGTGTATTATTCCAGTCTTTTTGTTATTTAGCTTAAAATATTTTCATCCTTAGCTTATAGTGAATGGTGAATATATTTATTGTATGAAATCTGAATATATGAAGAATGGGTATACAGTGGAACCCTGAATATTGGCCGTAATCCATTCCAGAAGGTCAGCCTAAATTCAAAAAGGCCTAAATTCGAAGCAATATTTCCCATAAGAATTAATGTAAATACAATTAATCCGTTCTAGACACCCAAAAATATTAACAGAAATACATTTTTTAAAGATTAATTATAGTTTTTCATACACAAAACAATGAGAACTAAATAAAATAAATAAATGAACATTTAAATCACTATTACATAACTTTATTGAAGACTCTTGTTGGCTTATGGAAGACAGGGAGAAGGAGAGAGGGAGGACTGATTATTGTTTGGAAGGGAAATTCCCCCTCCATAAAGACTTTAGGTATCAAATCCCTCTCTGGGGTTACTTCCCTTCCTGCCTGCTACACTCCCTGCATGCCTGCTACACTCCATGCCTGCCTGCTACACTCCCTGCCTCCCTTCCACACTCCCTGTTTCCCTGTTACACTCCCTGCCTCCCTGCTACACTCCCTCCCTCTGTACTACACTCCCTGCATGCCTGCTACACTCCCTGCCTGCCTACTACACTCCCTGCTAGCCTACTACACTTCCTACCTCTCTCCACATCTTCCATTGGGCCCATGGTGGCTTATTTCAGTCACACTTAATAAACAAGCACAAAAACAATGGATTTTAAGGAAATGTTATGATGAATGCACGGAGTATATGCTCATTCACTGAGACACACAAGGAGACTGACTCACCTACGTGTGGCGTCCCAGCGGGAGGCAGGCTGATGCGTATAATATGGCTGATTTGTGAGGCACCAGTTGAAATACAGAGCAAAATTTCCCCAAAAAAACCAGCTTAAATACGATTCGGCCAATAAACGCAGCGGCTGATATTTGGGGTTCCACTGTAATTGAAAAACTGCTGCATTAGTTGTAGAGTTCATTCTTTTGGTGTCATTACAATCGGGAAAAGATTCTCTATCATTTCATAAGAAAAAATAATTTTTTTTTTCTTTTAGGAAATTTTGCAATACCAGGAGACACCTCAGGATTTGGGGTTGTGACAGTCAAGGGTTAATAACATTAAATTTTGTCTCAAATGTATGGAAGGTAGTGAATGCCAGTAATTTGAATTAACTTTATTTTCAGGGTGAACTGGTCCATCACATCACGAGGAAATATTTTAACTTACCGTGTGTGATGATAATCTCAGGGGAATACAAGCATTTTTAAAGTGAAGCATCATGCCGTTAAATCCATATTTCATCAAGAGACGAGTGAGGAAATGGTGGCCATACATTGCAGTTCTAGTACTCATCGCTATTGGATATTATAAAGGTAATGTGTGCCATGAAATGAAAAATAATTGGTTATAATCATAACCATAATTTTTAAAAGGGTGGACCAGTACACCAGTGGAAGGCCTCTATCAGATGACCAAAAGCTCCAGCTGTGAGTCATCATATGACTTAAGACTCGCAGCAGGAAACACATGTTCTGTTTCCTGACAAGCATTATACTTACCATGAAATGAAGTAAAGAGGAAAAGTGTGTATGTGGGATCTAGAAAAGACGATTTTTTGTTTTATTCTGGAATGTTATTTTCCAAAATTCCAACATAAATTAAGATGTAAACAAAAAATAAAGACAAAGATTTATTTCCAGTGTTTGTACAGAGAATGCTGACACTTGGTTATACATACAGAAAGCCCATGATGTGTAAAGCATTTCAGGCACGTATATTATAAGTTTGAAAATATTTTGATGCAGTTGATATGAAGATAGTATCTATATTTTTAACTTGTTACTTGGAGCATTAACAAAAGGTACTGGAAGATAATAACCCATTCACAGTCATGTATTAATTTTTTCTATGTACAAACTTTTTATTTTAATTACATAATTTAATAGGTGAATAAAATGGTAGAGAGGGTGTATAAATCCATGTAGGAGTTGTCTCAGAAAGGATTGAAGGGAGGGGAAGTTAAGGAGGTTCTAAGTGTTAGAGGCTTGAGCATCCAGCAAGCGTATGTGAGCATATTAGATTGGAGTGACTGGAGATGGGATTTTTAGGGTCTGATGTGCAAGCAAGGTAACATGAAGAGATTCAGACAAAATCAATTAGCCAGATGAAGCTGTTGAATGAATGATGGTGAATGGGTTTCCTTTTTTGGTCATCATATCTTGGTGGGAGATGACCACTGTAAAGACACTATAATATGCAGTTTTGTCATTCTTTATTTCTAATATAAATTGTTGCTAGTACTCTACACATGGTGATAAAATTAATCTGCCTTTCACCTTGTCATTCACAGGAATATTTAACCAGATCTCAAGTTCATCAGCATCAGATGCTTTTGAAGAGCAGACAAGAAACACTATGAAAGAAGTGTTTTCTTTGCAAAGACAAGTGAGTTTTGATTGGGTTTGATTAGTACCTGAGGTATTGATGCAAATTCTTGGATAGCTTTGGAAAAAGGCTAAACAAATATGTGGGTGGGGATGGTTGGTTTTGAGAAGGATCTGCCTTGTATGGGCCAGTAGGTCTGCCACAGTGTTCCTCCATTCTTTTGTTCTTAAACCACATTGTCCATCCTCTACCAAGGTAGGGTGACCCAGAGAAGGACACACATCCACCATCACACCTTGAGTAGCTGTCTTGTAGAAAAAGACACTTATGTACAGGTCAGGACATTTATTAGAGGAAACATAAGTGCCTTTTTCCACATCTTGTCAGTATCACCATAACATTTTTCAGTAGCTGTCTTGCCATAAGTATGCACACACAACAGTTTAAAGGAACCACTGAACTGTAACATTACTACCCATCCTTCAGAGTACAGGCACTGTACTTCCCACCTCCAAGACTCATATTCTGTAGGCAGTATTATTTTATGTGATAGAGTGAATATTCTAAAAGAAAAAGCAGAGAGGGGATGGGCTGCTTCTTTTGTGCATATCTTTATTCACACTAAGTATTTAAAAGTCAGTTGGTCTGTAGTCTTAATATATAATACTGTATTTTTAGAGATTAAATAAGCAAGAAGTCAAGCCAGAATGTTGGAATAGCTTATGGAAGACTGATTGCAAGTGAGAAAAGAACATGTTGATAATTGAGACACTTGGGCAACATTTAGGAATCTTTATTCTGGAAATATTTCACCACCCAGGGGCTTCTTCAGTCTAATACAGAGAAGAACAGTGGAAGATGAAGAGGAGTTTGAGGTAATTAGTCCCTCAGCTTGGAGTCGGTGTGTTCAGCCCTTCAGTCTTTTATCAATTGCATGACCAGTATAATTCAGCATGTTTTTTAATGTAATAATGATGATAACTACTACCCTGAAGGAGGGGTGTTAATGTTGCAGTTTAAAAACTGTAGTGTAAAGCACCCTTCTGGCAAGACAGTGATGGAGTGAATGATGGTGAAAGTTTTTTTTTTTCGGGCCACCCTGCCTTGGTGGGAATCGGCCAGTGTGTTAATAAAAAAAAAAAAACTACTACCCCCACCCTTATAGTTTTCTTCTCTTTTGGGTTACATAGCCTCGGTGGGAGACAGCCGGTATGTGAGATAAAAGTAATATTACAACTCCACCCCCTACCATTGCTTTGACCTGTCTCCAGTGTCATTATATGCAAGGTAGTAGCCCGGAACCTTACCTGTTATATAAGCGGTGCCCTCCAGTAGCCTGGAACCTAACCTGCTGTATAAGCAGTGCCCTCCAGTAGCCTGGAACCTAACCTGCTGTATAAGTGGTGCCCTTCAGAGCCTGGAACCTAACCTGCTGTATAAGCAGGGCCTTCCTTTACCTGTCCCTTGCAAGATTACGCTCATTCAGTTTTCAGATACTGGTTTTGCACTTGTGAATGTCCATTAGGAGCAGAGATGTGAATTTTGCTTATAAAAGTTGTTTTGTACTCATTTTGTGTTTGTTGGAACACTTCTAGTCACTATGTCCCACCGAGGCAGGACGACCTATAAAAAGAAAACAAAAGTTTTCCTTTTTACATTTAGTAGTATACAGAAGGGGGTTACTAGCCCCTTGCTCCCATTATTATTATTACTTTTATTAATAAAATCATACATACTGTATTTTTATTTACAGGTGAAGCTGCTGAAATCTGTGATCAAGCGTTACTCTATACCAGAGAAAGAGTACTCAGACGTTCTGTTACCCGTTATTTACGTTATCACTCCTACATATGCCCGACCTCACCAGAAAGCAGAATTAACAAGGTATGGCAGTCTGGTGTTATATACCTGGAGGGTTTTTTGGGGGTCAACACTCCTGTGGCCCAGTCCATGACCAGGCCTTGCAGTAGATCCGGGCCTGATCAGCCAAGCTGTTACAATTGCTAGCCACAAACCAACGTATGAGCCACAGCCCTGCTGGTCAGGTACTGACTGTAGGTGCCTGTCCAGCTCCTTCTTGAAGACAGCCAGGGGTCAATTAGTAATTCCCCTTATGTATACTGGGAGGCAGTTGAACAATCTTAGGCCCCTAACACTTTTTGTGTTGTCTTTTAGTGTACTCATGGCACTCCTGCTTTTTGTTGGGGTGGATGTTGCACCACCTGCCAAGTATTTTGCTTTTGTAGGGAGTGATTTCCATGTGTAGATTTGTAACTAGTCCCTCTAAGGTTTTCCAAGTGTATATAATCTTGTATCTTTCTTGCCTGTGTTCCAAGGAGTACAGGTCAAGGGACTTCAACCATTCCCAGTAATTTAGGTACTTTATTGTACTTACACGTGCAGTGAAAGTTCTCTGTTCTTCAAGTCTGCAATTTCACCTGCCTTGAAAGGGGTTGTTAGTGTACAGCAATACTCCAGCCTAGAGAGAACAATTGATTTGAAGAGAATCATCATTGGCTTAGCATCCCTAGTTTTGAAGGTTCTCATTATCCATCATATCATTTTCCTAGCAAATGTGTAGAGACATTGTTGCTATCTCTGAAAGTGACAGTCTCTGACATTATCACTCCCAGGTCCTTCAGTTGAGATTTTTGCTCTGTTGTATTGTTGGAATTTTTTTTTTTATACTTTAATTCAGTTTTTATTTCCTTGAGTTTTCCATAGTGAAGTAATTGAAATTTGTCTTCATTGAACTTCATATTGTTTTTTGCAGCCCATTTAAAGATTTGGTTGATATCTGCTTGGAGATTTGCAGTGTCTTCAATGGATGACATTGTCATGCAAATTCAGGTGTCATCCACAAAGGAACATGATGGGAGCAAGTACTGTACCTTGTGGAACAGAGCTTTTCACTGAAGCCACCTCTGACTTTGCTCTGTTTACTATTACTCTTTGTGTTCTGTTTGGAAGTTATAGATCCATCTATCCACTTTTCCTATTATTCCTTTGTAATATATTTTGTGTGCCATTACACCATGATCACACTTGTCGAAGGCTTTCGCAAAGTCTTTGCATATAACATCTGCATTTTGTTTGTCTTCCAGTGCATCCAAGACCATATCATAGTGGTCCAGTAGTTGTGAGAGGCAGGATTGACCTGCTTTAAACCCATGCTGCTCTGAGTTGTGCAATTGATGGGTATCCAAGAGGTTGGCAATTTTGCATCTTAGAACCTACCTAGGTTAGAATATAATCATGATTATCATTACTATTATTTTTATGATTATTATTACAGGGTCTCCTCACTTAGCGACTTGTTTACTGACACCTCGAACTTATGACAGGCTCTCTGACCAGTATACATACCTAAATAATGTGTATTAGAGCTGATTTCCTCTATTCTATTATTACAGTATCACAGTACACTACTGTATAAACATTTAAAAATATACTAAAAATGTTATAAATGGTGCAAAGTTGACATTAAAACAATATCAAAGATGGTTGACACAAACCCACTACCATTATAGTATGCTCCTTGTTTAGCCACAAATTCATTTACTAACGTGGTCTTAAGAACGGAACTCTGTTGTTAAGTGAGGAGAGGCTGTATTATTATTATTATTATTATTATTATTATTATTATTATTATTCTTTCTTTCTTTCAACACACCGGCTGTATCCCACCAAGGCGGGGTGGCCCAAAAGGAAAAACGAAAGTTTCTCCTTTTACATTTAGTAATATATACAGGAGAAGAGGTTACTAGCCCCTTGCTCCCGGCATTTTAGTCGCCTCTTACAACACGCATGGCTTACGGAGGAAGAATTCTGTTCCACTTCCCCATGGAGATAAGAGGAAATAAACAAGAATAAGAACTAGAAAGAAAATAGAAGAAAACCCAGAGGGGTGTGTATATATGTGCTTGTACATGTATGTGTAGTGTGACCTAAGTGTAAGTAGAAGTAGCAAGACGTACCTGAAATCTTGCATGTTCATGAGACAGAAAAAAGGACACCAGCAATCCTACCATCATGTAAAGCAATTACAGGCTTTCGTTCTACACTCACTTGGCAGGACAGTAGCACCTCCCTGGGCGGTTGCTGTCTACCAACCTACTACCTTAAATTATTATTATTATTTATTATTATTATTATTATTATTATTATTATTATTATTATTATTTCTTTTTTCTACATACTGGCCATCTCCCACCAAGGCAGGGTGAACTGAGAAAAAGAAGAAAACTATTAAGTTTTTCTTCATTTTACATTTAGTAATTTATACAGAAGTGGTTACTAGCCCTAGGACTTGGAGGACCTGGAGGTGGGAAGTACAGTGCCTGCACTCTGAAGGATGGGTGGTGGTGGTGGGAAGTACAGTGCCTGCACTCTGAAGGATGGGTGGTGGTGGGAAGTACAGTACTTGCACTCTGAAGGATGGGTGGTGGTGGGAAGTACAGTACTTGCACTCTGAAGGATGGGTGGTGGTGGGAAGTACAGTACCTGCACTCTGAAGGATGGGTGGTGGTGGGAAGTACAGTACCTGCACTTGAAGGATGGTGTGGTGGTGGGAAGTACAGTACTTGCACTCTGAAGGATGGGTGGTGGTGGGAAGTACAGTACCTGCACTCTGAAGGATGGGTGGTGGTGGGAAGCACAGTACTTGCACTCCGAAGGATGGGTGGTGGTGGGAAGTACAGTACAGTGGACCCCCGCTTAACGATCACCTCCCAATGTGACCAATTATGTAAGTGTATTTATGTAAGTGCATTTGTACTTGTATGTTTGGGGGTCTGAAATGGACTAATCTACTTCACAATATTCCTTATGGGAACAAATTCGGTCAGTATTGGCACCTGAACATACTTCTGGAATGAAAAAATATCGTTAACCGGGGGTCCACTGTACTTGCACTCCGAAGGATGGGTGGTGGTGGGAAGTACAGTACTTGCACTCTGAAGGATGGGTGGTTGTGGGAAGTACAGTACCTGCACTCTGAAGGATGGGTGGTGGTGGGAAGTACAGTACTTGCACTCCGAAGGATGGGTGGCGGTGGGAAGTACAGTACTTGCACTCCGAAGGATGGGTGGTGGTGAGAAGTACAGTACCTGCACTCTGAAGGATGAGTGGTGGTGGGAAGTACAGTACTTGCACGGTGGGGTCCGTATGCATCCGAGATGGCTGGTGGTGGGAAGTACAGTGCCTGCACTCTGAAGGAGGGGTGGAGATACACTGCAGTTTTTTAACTATGGTGTAGGCATGCCTCTGGCAAGACAATGATGGGTGTTTCTTTTTTTTCGGGTCACCCTGCCTCAGTGGGAAACAGCTAATGTGTTAATAAAAAATATTATTATTAATTATTTATTATTATTAGAAATGAATTTAAGATTATGGCTACTATAAAATAAATGTTATTTCTTTGGTATTGTAAGTTAGAGCCTGAGATGAGTTAGTTAGAGGGAAGAAGTGAAAGTACAATTCATTGCATCATTCACCATTGCAACAATCACTACAGGGGACAGAGTGAAACACAGTGGTTCATATCTGCCTCTTGGTATCTTAAGACATATTGGTGTTTCTCAGTGTTGTTTTGTTAAAAGAAGACAACAGAAACACGTGTATCAATTATGTGCTCAGAAAAATTATTTTTTGTAGTCTGTTGCATAAAAAACATTACTAGAAACTTTTTTTTCAGTTCTCAGTCACAATGCATAGTCTGGAAATGTTTCACAAAATCAAAATAACATGATTGCAAACAAGTCACAGAGCTTGTGGAGTTTGACCCTGTGGCAAGGGAGACCTAAAACTCACAGGCCAGTGCATTTTAGGACTCACTCACCTTGGGTTCAAATCCACCCATTCCATGGTTCATAAGCAGTGATCCATTGAAAATTTGCTGATGAGGATTTCCTGTACTTTTCAGTTGTTGTTGTTTTTTGTTTTCAACAAACCGGCCATATCTCACCAAGGCAGGGCAGCCCAAAAACAAAAATGAAAGTTTCTCTTCTTAAATTTAGTAATTTATACGGGAGAAGGGGTTACTAGCCTCTTGCCCCCGGCATTTTAGTCGCCTCTTACAACACGCATGGCTTACGGAGGAAGAATTCTGTTCCACTTCCCCATGGAGATAAGAGGAAATAAACAAGAAGAAGAACTAGAAAGAAAATAGAAGAAAACCCAGAGGGGTATGTGTGTGTATATATATGCTTGTACATGCATGTGTAGTGTGACCTAAGTGTAAGTAGAAGTAGCAAGACATACCTGAAATCTTGCATGCTTATGAGACAGGAAAAAGGACACCAACAATCCTACCTTCATGTAAAACAATTACAGGCTTTTGTTTTACACTCACTTGGCAGGACAGTAGCACCTCCCTGGGCAGTTGCTGTTTACCAACCTACTACCTAAAACTTTTCGGTTGTATCTTTCTTATATATTTATTATGGTTAGCAACTTGGCATCATTCATAAAATTACATTACATTGGTTCTGATGTTTGTTTCTTGTTTCCAATAACTGTTGATTTTCTGTTTATAAATTAAAGACTTCTTTTGTAGAAGTAGTGAATGTCTGTGCCAACAGGTTGAAGAGCGTGTTCCTCCATGTGCCAGCATTACACTGGGTTGTCGTCGAAGATGCTCCACACAAGTCACAGATGGTATCAGAATTTTTGAAGCTGTCTGGTCTGACGTACACACATCTGCACCAGCTAACTCCAGATGATTGGAAGCTAAAAAGCAATGTAAGGCAACTGAAAAGAAAATGCTACATAATCATGTCCTGATGTATTAGGCACATGTACAACATCTTGTTATCTTTGTTTTGAAGATGTTTTTGCCAGCCAGTGGCTTTTTCAATTCAATAGAGAGCTTATTAACTTGAGACAGTAGACAATAAGGTAATCAGTCCCTTAGATAAAGTAATCAATTGCTTAGATGGTAAAGTAATCAGTTGCTTAGTTGATAAGGTAATCAGGCCCTTAGCCTTGAGGTGTTCACCTCTTTGGTCTTTATCAAGACTAAGTTGGTGAACACGTGCAAACCTTTGAAATTATACCATTTGTTCATCTGCTACCTTTCTTATTGTACTATGATTGTACTTAACTGCATAAGAAATCCTACATAGCAGTTTATGTCTAATTCTTAAGTAGTTTTTAAGTACTAGGATTAGTGTGCCCAAAAAAGGTAGTTTTGAAGATGCTGCCAGAGAAAGTGGCTCTGGAGATTTCTGCAGAGAGTTCCAGATTTTGGGCCCCTTTTATGTACATTGAATTTTTACAGAGATTAAGTCAGACATGGGGTATGTTATAGAGATTTTTGTGCATAGTGGGTTTCTTTTGGGCCTACTAATATTATATTACATGTAAATTACAAAAAAATTGAATTTGAAGGCTGTGGTTAATAAGCTCTCTTGCATGTGTCTAAATTTTTGACTTGCTTGTATTTACAGTGGACCCCCGGTTAACGAACTTTTTTCATTCCAGTAGTATGTTCAGGTGCCAGTACTGACCGAATTTTTTCCCATAAGGAATATTGTGAAGTAGATTAGTCCATTTCAGACCCCCAAACATACACGTACAAATGCACTTACATAAATACACTTACATAATTGGTCGCATTTGGAGGTGATCGTTAAGCGGGGGTCCACTGTATGTGATTATTGCTATTATAATCATATACTGCATGTATTTAAATGGTATATGAAATTATTACAGTACACATATATAGAAAAAAAAATGATATTTGTTGAAAAATACAGTGTTCAAAATTTTATTAAGACCTGAAAACATTGCATAGATAAAGTACATATCTATTTCTTTCATAAATAAAGTTACAGTGATTTGTGAATTTTTACCTTTTCCTTGTTTTTCAAATAGCAGTTTTATTTTTCTTATACAAAAATGTGACAGTAAAGGACAGAAGAGCACAGTTTACAATAGCAAAGGTACAGTGTATTGTGGCACAACACATAGCATCATCCTAGCTGATGAAGCTGTGTCATGGCACAGTGAAACTCCTTATTTGTCTTTTTAACAGGGGGTTATTATTATTATTATTATTGGTAGTGATGGTGGTGGTGTTTCCAGAAGCAATGATCACATTTGTATGGGTAACAGAGAGTTCTGGCTCTCCATCCCAATATTGTTAGTTTTGATTTGCCTCCGCTACCATTTCTAGATGGTATATTACCATTCCTAATATTTTAGTAAAGCATCTGAGGAAGAGAATAATTAACACCAGGAGAGTTGATATTAACAGTAACTGCTTTTTAATCTTCCCTACTTCAACGGTAACTGAGAACATTTCTAGGTTACCTAAGAAAACCACTTAATCACTGCCACCGTCACCTCTTTATTTAGTCATTCTCTTTCAGGATCCAAACTGGAGGAAGCCCAGGGGAGTTTTACAGAGGAATGCAGGTCTCAAATGGCTCCGTAGAAAATTCATGTACGACGGTGACCCAAGGGGAGTAGTCTACTTTGCAGATGATGATAACACTTATAGCATAGAATTGTTTACCGAGGTAATGTACGTTTGTTACTTTTGTACATATTGCATATCTACATATTACATGTGTACGTATGTTAGATAAGTTTAATCTTTATCTGGTTGTGCAGTACCTAGTAGATATTGAATTTTGATTAAATTTGTGGTCTAATAATAGTTTTTGAGCAAATTAAAGCTGTTGTGGTACATTATGCCTGATTTGTTTATGTTTGTGAGACACCATATTAAACTCCTGATACACTCTTGAACTACCATAACTCATATGTTTGATAGCACTTGGGTTAGTCATCTTTAACCCTTTGGGGGTCGACAGGTCCTCTCAGAGACTTGTTCTCAGGGTCAGCCAAATTTCAAAAAAGAAAATTATTTTTTCTTATGAAAAGATAGAGAATCTTTTCCTGATCATAATGACACCAAAAGTATGAAATTTGATGGAAAACTTACGGAATTATGCTCTCGCGAAGTTAGCGGTCTCGACGATGTTTACGCATCGGCGATTTTGCCCACTTTGAGCCCTATTTTCAGCCAATTCCAGTGTACTAGTCGACAAAAATCATAACTATTTCGCTAGAACTCCATTTTTTCTATCGAATGAGCACAAGAAACCACCCATTTACCGATTTCAACTATCCAATAAAATGGTCAGAATTTAGCAATTTTGCCAATTTCACACAAATTTCAAAAGATGCCAATTTCCGAATAGAGTCCAGAATAAACAAGAAAGACATTCCTGGCACTAAAATAACAAGTTCTCTGCTTGTTAGTCACATCCCCAGGCCCCTCTTATATTTCTTTGGCTTTCCACTTTGAATTTTTATTCTTACAAAAAAAATAAGATTTACTGTTATGCAGACTACTGCATTAGTGTAGAAATGGTATAAATAATATCAGCACACTTGTGAAAGAATATTAGACTCACCAGTTGATGCGTATTGGACACTTGGCATGATTTGTTTACTTTTGAACTTTGGTAAAAATCGAACATTTCTGCTACTTTGAGCTCAATTTCAACGTACTTTTCATTGTAAAACCAGTCAAAATCATCTCAATTTCTGTAATATGTCTTCCATTCTATAAAATGAGACCAAGAAAACTAGAATACAACAACAATTACCATATGAAAATACAGTGCAAAGTCGCTGTTTTAATCCAAAAACACGGTCAAAGTTTTTTTTTTCTCATTACGCACTGTGTGCTGCAGGATTTTTTTTATACTGTGCACACTGACCACATAGACCCATTCTTACATATGTAGGCCTACCAGCTTTCTCACTAGATTTGAGGGCGCTAGAATTTAGGCGTACTAGTACATCAAAAACCCTGGTCATAAGACGTGCTAGTACGTCCGAAACCCCCAAAGGGTTAATACCTTAATTTTTTCAGTTCTTAATAGTGGATTTATCATTATGTAAAAATGCTTGTCATTTTACAGTTATATGATTGTTTGAAAGGTTAGCAGCTTCTTATTCAAGGAATTGGAACTACCCTCCTTGTCCTCAGATAAAACTTGATAGCCTGTCGTTCCCCAGATGCTGTGTGAACCTTACAGTTTAGCGCTTCCCCAGGAATATATTATAAAAGTTTAAATAATAATCATTTCTTTTTATGAAGACTTATTAACGTATATGTGCATACACTATACTCTTTGTGATGGTATGCCGCAGATGCGGGACACTCGGACAGTGTCAGTATGGCCGGTGGGCTTAGTTGGAGGAGTGATGGTGGAGCGTCCTCAAGTGAGCACCATCGGCACAGGTCCTCGTGTAACAGGCTGGCTTACTGGCTGGAAGACAAACCGTCCATTTGCTACAGACATGGCTGGCTTTGCTGTTAATTTAGCTTTACTGTTAAAGAAAACAAAAGTTGAATTCAGCCTAAATTCACCAATTGGATATTTAGAAAGCAATTTTTTGGAGAAGCTAGTAACACTGGATCAACTAGAACCAAAGGCAGAACTTTGCACTAAGGTAACCTACCTCCTGTTCCATACATTTGCAACCTCTACTACATGGCTTCTCTCTCCACCCTTTCAAATGCCTTTTCTATATCCATAATAGCAAGACACAGTGCTTTACCCTTATCTAAGTACAGTACTGCTTACTTGTATGCTTCATTGTAAACACTTGGTCTACACATCATTGCTAAACCCTCCCTGCCCTTCCTAAATCCTCCCTGCCCTTCCTAAATCCTCCCTGCCCTTCCTAAATCCTCCCTGCCCTTCCTAAATCCTCCCTGCCCTTCCTGAATCCTCCCTGCCCTTCCTAAATCCTCCCTGCCCTTCCTAAACCCTCCCTGCCCTTCCTAAATCCTCCCTGCCCTTCCTGAATCCTCCTTGCTCCTCTGTAATCTTACTTTCTGTCTTACCCTTAACTGTTTCAATGATAATCCCATAAATTTTACCTGGTATACTTAACAGGCTTATTGCCTTGTATGTACTTCTTACATTCTCTCTTGTCCTCTTTTTCTTTTACAGTGAAATTATGCACACACTGCCAATCCTGTGGCATACAGTGGAACTATGCATGCTTTCTGCCAGTTCTTTAGCACCTACCCTTCTAGCATGCATATATAGAATAAACACAACAACCTCTCCAGTACTATATCCTGACATGCTTTTAACAGATATTATCTATTCCAGCCACATTTCCCACTTTCATTCTACTTACTTGTGCACTTTTCCCACATCCACCTTAGACTCCTCCTCACTCCTACGTGATGTTATTTCTCCATGCCCAATGCCTGAAATCACTGACTCCTTTTTATCACTAACATTCAACAGTTTTCAAATATCCTCTCCATTTTTACAGTATTTCCACCTCCCCATTTAACATCTTTCCTATTTTGTTTTTAACTGCTAGATTTAGAAAGGACATAGGAAAGTATTGGTTTGGAAATAGGGTAGTTGATGAGTGGAACAGTCTACCTAGTTAGGTTATTGAGGCTAGGACTTTGGGTAGTTTCAAATTTAGGTTGGATAAATATATGAGTGAGAGGGGTTGGATTTGAGTGGGACTTGCAAATGAGTGGATAGAGTTATCAGAGCTTATTTCTTGGGTAGCATTGAAAATTAGGTTGGGCAAATGTTTTGTTAGTGGGATGGATTGTAAAGGACCTGCCTAGTATGGGCCAACAGGCCTGCTGCAGTGATCCTCCTTTCTTATGTTCTTATGTTCAGGCTTCCTTACCTTATTGATGTCTTTCCAAGACAGTTTCTTATTCTCAGTAGAATTTGCTAATAAAGACTCTCCCATTTTCTCATTGGCTCAACTTTTGCATCGCCTCACTTAACTTTTATCCTCCTTTCTCTCCATATACTCTGCCTTCCCTCTGTGATTTTTACATTGCAGAAACGTCTCATTTGCATTTTTTTTTCTCCCTTACCATCCTCTTTACCTCATCATTCCACCAATCATTCCTCTTCCCACTCACACATACCTGTGTACACACATACATATAAATACATACATACATACATACGTGCATTCAGTAGTAGGTTGGTAGACAGCAACCACCCAGGGAGGAACTGCTGTCCAAGCAAGTGTAAAATGGAAGCCTGTAATTGTTTTACATGATGGTAGGATTGCTGATCTTTTTCTGTCTCTTAAACATGCAAGGTTTCAGGTACGTCTTGCTACTTCTACTTACTTAGGTCACACTACACATACATGTGTTTTTTTTTTTTTAACAAGTCGGCTGTCTCCCACCGAGGCAGGGTGACCCAAAAAGAAAGAAAATCCCCAAAAAGAAAATACTTTCATTATTCAACTCTTTCACCTCACTCACACATAATCACTGTTTTTCAGGGGCGCTCAGAACACAACAGCTTAGAAGCATATACGTATAAAGATACACAACATATCCCTTCAAACTGTCAATATCCCAAACCCCTCCTTTAGAGTGCAGGCATTGTACTTCCCATTTCCAGGATTCAAGTCCAGCTATATAAAATAACCGGTTTCCCTGAATCCCTTCCCTAAATATTAACCTGCTCACACTCCAACAGATCATCAGGTCCCAAATACCATTCATCTTCATTCACTCCTATCGAACACGCTCATGCACGCCTGCTGGAAGTCCAAGCCCCTCGCCCACAAAACCTCCCTTACCCCTTCCTTCCAACCTTTTTGAGGATGACCCCTACCCCGCCTTCCTTCCCCTACAGATTTAACTGCTCTCCTTGTCATTCTACTTTGATCCATTCTCTCTAAATGACCAAACCACCTCAACAACCCCTCTTCAGCCCTCTGACTAATACTTTTATTAACTCCACACCTTCTCCTGATTTCCACACTCCGAATTTTCTGCATAATATTTGCACCACACATTGCCCTTAGACAGGACATGTCCACTGCCTCCAACCGCCTCCTCACTGCTGCATTCACAACCCAAGTTTCACACCCATATAAGATTGTTGGTACTACTATACTTTCATACATTCCCTTCTTTGCCTCCATAGATAATGTTTTTTGTCTCCACATATACCTCAATGCACCACTCGCCTTCTTTCCCTCATCAATTCTATGATTAACCTCATCTTTCATAAATCCATCCGCCGACACGTCAACTCCCAAGTACATATCTGAAAACATTCACTTCTTCCATACTCCTCCTCCCCAATTTGATATCCAATTTTTCTTTATCTAAATCATTTGATACCCTCATCACCTAACTCTTTTCTATGTTCACTTTCAACTTTCTACCTTTACACACACTCTCACCTCCCTCTTGCTTGTTGTTGCCATTTTCCTCTTTTCCCATCTACCTCTTTCTCTAACTGTAGCTACAACTAAATAATGATCCGATATGTCAGTTGCCCCTCTATAAACATGTACATCCTGGAGTCTACCCATCAACCTTTTATCCACCAATACATAATCTAACAAACTACTTTCATTACATGCTATATCATACCTTGTATATTTATTTATCCTCTTCTTCATAAAATATGTATTACTTATTACTAAACCTCTTTCTACACGTAGATCAATTAAAGGCTCCCCATTTTCATTTACCCCTGGCACCCCAAATTTACCAACTACTCCCTCCACAACATTTTTGCCCAGTTTAGCATTGAAATCCCCAACCACCATTACTACTCTCACACTTGGTTCAAAACTCCCCACGCTTTCACTCAACATTTCCCAAAATCTCTCTCTCTCTCCTCTACACTTCTCTCTTCTCCAGGTGCATATACGTTTACTATAACCCACTTTTCACATCCAACCTTTATTTTACTCCACATAATCCTTGAATTAATACATTTATAGTCCCTCTTTTCCTGCCATAACTTATCTTTCAACATTATTGCTACTCCTCCTTTAGCTCTAACTTTGTTTGAAACCCCTGACCTAATCCCATTTATTCCTCTCCACTGAAACTCTCCTATTCCCCCTTCATCTTTGTTTCACTTAAAGCCAGGACATCCAGCTTCTTCTCATTCATAACATCCACAATCATCTCTTTCTTATCATTTGCACAACATCCACACACATATTATTACAGGAAAAGGGGTTACTAGCCCATTGTTCCAGGCATTTTAGTTGACTTTTACAACATGCATGCCTTACGGAGGAAAGATTCTTATTCCACTTCCCCATGAATATAAAAGGAAAAGTAATAAGACCAAGAACTGTTAAGATAAAATCAAAGAAAACTCAGATCTTTCTTTCTTTCAACACACCGGCCGTATCCCACCAAGACAGGGTGGCCCAAAAAGAAAAATGAAAGTTTCTCTTTTAAATTTAGTAATTTATACGGGAGAAGGGGTTACTAGCCCCTTGCTCCCGGCATTTTAGTTGCCTCTTACAACACCCATGGCTTACGGAGGAAGAATTCTGTTCCACTTCCCCATGGAGATAAGAGGAAATAAACAAGAACAAGAACTAGAAAGAAAATAGAAGAATACCCAGAGGGGTGTGTATATATATGCTTGTACATGTATGTGTAGTGTGACCTAAGTGCAAGTAGAAGTAGCAAGACGTACCTGAAATCTTGCATGTTTATGAGACAGAAAAAAGACACCAGTAATCCTACCATTATGTAAAACAATTACAGGTTTCCGTTTTACACTCACTTGGCAGGACGGTAGTACCTCCCTGGGCGGTACTATATGTACAAGCATATATATACACACCCCTCTGGGTTTTCTTCCATTTTCTTTCTAGTTCTTGTTTATTTCCTCTTATCTCCATGGGGAAGTGGAAAAGAATTCTTCCTCCATAAGCCATGGGTGTTGTAAGAGGCGACTAAAATGCCCGGAGCAAGGACTAGTAGCCTCTTCTCCTGTATAAATTACTAAATTTAAAAAGAGAAACTTTCGTTTTTCTTTTTGGGCTACCCTGCCTTGGTGGGATACAGCCAGTTTGTTGGAAAAAAAAAAACATGAAAGATTTCAGATATGTCTTGCTACTTCTACTTACACGTAGGTCACACTACACATGCATGTACTAGCATATAGTGTATACACACCCCTCTGGGTTTTCTCTATTTTCTTACTAGTTCTTGTGTTTGTTTATTTCCTCTTATCTCCATGGGGAAGTGGAACAGAATTCTTCCTCTGTAAGCTATGCGTGTCGTAAGAGGCGACTAAAATGCCGGGAGCATGAGGCTAGTAACCCCTTCTCTTATATACATTACTAAAGTTAAAAACTTGCATTTTTCTTCTCTGGCCACCCTGCCTCAGTGGGATATGGCCAATGCATTGAAAGAAGAAGTACATTCAGGGTAATATTTTGTGAAGGAATTCAGGTAAACCGGTTAGCCAGACTTGAGTCTTGGAAGTGGGAAGTACAATGCCTGCACTTTGAAGGAGGGGTTTGGGATATTGTCAATTTAGAGGGACATCTAAACTGTCGTATCTGAGTGCCTCTGCAAAGACATTGATTATGTATGAGTGATGGTGAAAGTGTTGAATGATGAAAGTTTTTTCTTTCCTTTTGGGTTTTTCTTTCTTTTTGGGTCACCCTGCCTCAGCGGGAAATGGCCGACGTGTTAACAAAAAAATATGTATATTCATTCATTTATTAATCTTTGTAATGACCAAATTTTAGTTTAGTTAGCATTGATTCATTCTGTTTTATAACTTTGCACTTGACAATGTTCTTACCTTCTCATTCTTTGGTAGTACTGATTGTTGTACATTTCTAGGTATATGTGTGGCACACAAGAACTGAGAAGCCCAATATGAAGGATGAGGAAAGGCTGAGGAAAGAAGGAAAAGCAACAAATGAAGGAATTGAAGTCTAGAATAAGGATAGTAATGGAATCCTCTGTTTGTACCTGTTATATTGTCTTATTTCCCTTAGGTAAATTAATGAACAGGGTAAGTATATATATACATGGGTAAGGGGCTTGGACTTCCAGCAAGCGTGCGTGAGCGTGTTAGATAGGAGTGAATGGAGACGAATGGTACTTGGGACCTGACGATCTGTTGGAGTGTGAGCAGGGTAATATTTAGTGAAGGGATTCAGGGAAACCGGTTATTTTCATATAGTCGGACTTGAGTCCTGGAAATGGGAAGTACAATGCCTGCACTTTAAAGGAGGGGTTTGGGATATTGGCAGTTTGGAGGGATATGTTGTGTATCTTTATATGTGTATGCTTCTAGACTGTTGTATTCTGAGCACCTCTGCAAAAACAGTGATAATGTGCGAGTGTGGTGAAAGTGTTGAATGATGATGAAAGTATTTTCTTTTTGGGATTTTCTTTCTTTTTTGGGTCACCCTGCCTCTGTGGGAGACGGCCGACTTGTTGAAAAAAAAAAAAAAAAAAAAAAAAAAAAAAATATAAATATATATATATATATATATATATATATATATATATATTATATATATATATATATATATATATATATTATATATTATAATATATATATATAATATATATATATATATATATATATATATATATATAATACATATATATGTCGTGCCGAATAGGCAGAATTTGCGATCTTGGCTTAAATAGCAACGTTCATCTTGCCATATAGGACAAGTGAAAATTTGTGTATGCAATAATTTCGCCAAAATCATTCTGAACCTAATGAAAAAAATATATTTCACTGTGTTTGTTTAGTATTAAATTACTGTAAACAAATCTAAAATATATTTAGTTGGGTTAGGCTAAAATAAATTGTTCTTGTTATAATAAGGTTAGATAAGTTTTCTAAGTTCCTTTTGGTGCAAAATTATAAATTTTTACATCAACATTAATGAAAAAAATATATCTTTAAACGTATAAGAGAAAATTTTATAAGGACTTAATTTTAAATGAGTTCTTGTTAATTGACCAGTTTTACATATTCGGCACGACATATATATGTATACACATATATATATATATATATATACACATATATATATATATATATATATACAGTGGACCAACGCTTAACGATCACCTCCAAATGCGACCAATTATGTAAGTGCGTTTGTACGTGTATGTTTGGGGTTCTGAAATGGACTAATCTACTTCACAATATTTCTTATGGGAACAAATTCGGTCAGTACTGGCACCTGAACATACTTCTGGAATGAAAAAATATCGTTAACCGGGGGTCCACTGTATATAATATGTATGTATATATATGTGTGTGTGTGTGTGTGTGTGTGTGTGTGTGTGTGGTGTGTGTGTGTGTGTGGTGTGTCATGAGCGTGTTCGATAGGAGTGAATGGAGACAAATGGTATTTGGGACCTGACGATCTGTTGGAGTGTGAGCAGGGTAATATTTAGTGAAGGGATTCAGGGAAACTGGTTATTTTTATATAGCCGGACTTGAGTCCTGGAAATGGGAAGTACAGTGCCTGCACTCTAAAGGAGGGGTTTTGGGATATTAGCAGTTTGGAGGGATATGTTGTGTATCTTTATATGTATATGCTTCTAAACTGTTGTGTTCTGAGCACCTCTACAAAAACAGTGATTATGTGTGAGTGAGGTGAAAGTGTTGAATGATGATGAAAGTATTTTCTTTTTGGGTCACCCTGCCTCGGTGGGAGACAGCCGACTTGTTGAAAAAAAAAAATGTGCGTGTGTGTGCGTGCGTGCGTGCGTGTGTCTCTGTGTGTCTGTGTACTCACCTATTTGTGGTTGCAGGGGTCGAGTCTTAGCTCCTGGCCCCGCCTCTTCACCGGTTGCTACTGGGCCCTCTCTCTCCCCGCTCCATGAGCTTTATCAAACCTCGTCTTAAAACTGTGTATGGTTCCTGCCTCCACTACGTCATTTTCTAGGCTATTCCACTGCCTGACAACTCTGTGAGTGAAGAAATACTTCCTAATATCTCTCTGACTCATTTGTGTCTTCAACTTCCAATTGTGGCCTCTTGTTTCTGTATCCCCTCCCTGGAACATCCTGTCTTTGTCCACCTTGTCTATTCCACACAGTATTTTATATGTCGTTATCATGTCTCTCCTGACCCTCCTGTCCTCCAGTGTCGTCAGGCCGATTTCCCTTAATCTTTGTGTGTGTTAGTTAGTTAGTTACCATTTGGTCCTAGGCACATGTCGATTAGACACTAGGCCTGTTGTATGTGCATGCGTGTGTGTGTATGTCTTTCCGTGTGTGTGTGTGTGTGTATGTGTGTGTGTGATGTGTGTGGCACAGTGAGTGCAAATCGTAAGCATATGCCCAGGTTTGACGCACTCATAGGGGTGAGGTGCAGGCATTTGCTGCCAATGACATCATGGCATTTCGGTGGCATGACAAACAAGATGTCACACTGCTGTCATCAGTTCACCCTAACGAAATGACAAACACTGGCAGGCAGAATAGAGAGACCAATGAACCCATTCTAAAACCTGCAGCTGTGATGGACTACACCCTCAATATGCATTCAATGGACAAATGTGACATGCAGACTGGGTGTGCTGATTGTGTTTGCAAGAATTATAAGTGGTATGTAAAACTATTTTTCCATATTCTGGACATTTCCATGCTCATTGCTTATAATATGTATAAGATGAGGACCAGAAACAAACCATCATATAGTGAATTTTGTTTATTCTGTCATCAGACAAATAATATTCAAGTACCATGAACAACACCTGCAACAGAAAACCACCCACTGAATATCAACAACTACCTTCTCGTCTGAGGCCTGGTGATCACTTCCTAATGAAACTACCTGCTGCTGCTTTCAAGAAAAAGGTTTAGAAAAGGTGTTATGTGCACATACAAAAAAAGCCCACAACAACGCAGACACACTCGTTTTATGTGTGAGGAGTGTAGAACACCACTGTGCACGACACCATGTTTCTAAGACTTCCACAGGCTGCAGAACTTCTAGAAACATGTCCTGTGACTGTATATGTGCATATATAATATAGAAAATAGTAATAAGCAACATTTATATTGTTTTGTAAATAATATAATGACAACAGTGTTTGTGCAGTTATTGTGTAGTACAGAAAGAGTAAATATTTACAAAACAGTGCTCATATTTGTCTCACAGGCCATAAAAGTTACTTGAAAAGAAAAAATATTAAAAAAAATAGAAAAAAGTAGAAAAACAAAATAAATGATTACAGGGTGATCGACAGTCAGCGATGTTGCCGTATGCGGTACAATCTCTGCCAACTTCACACCTCCATATCTCGGTAAGTATTGATGGCAAAAAAATTTTTTAGCCTATAAAATTTAGAAAAAAAAAAAAAACTATCTTTTCAAAAGAAAAAATAATTTTTTTTTCAAATATTTTTTGACCCTGAGAACAAATCTCGGAGAGGGCCTGTTGGCCCTGAAAGGGTTAACCTCTCCACCATCACCCCTCCCCATTCCCCACCACCCTTACCTTTACCTTTGATGAGTTCCGATCCCGGCCTGGGTCCAGGCTAGTCTGGTGTGTGTGTCTGGTCAACCAGTCTGTTGCTGCTGGTGGACTGCCGACCCACATATCCATCACAGCCTGGTTGATCTGGCACCTGGTGAAGATACTTGTCCAGTTTCCTCTTGAAGAAGTCAACATTTGTACCAACAATGCTTCCAATATCTTCTGGTATGACATTGAATAGTCTGGGTTTATTTTGCACTTCCTCCCATATCTTTCATTTCAGTATGTTGTTATGGCAGTGTATAGATTCGGAACAAGGTCCCTCAAGTACTTTCCAGGTATATATTACCATGTATCTCTCCCTCCTCCACTGCACGAGTACATATTAAGACTAAGGCATTCCCAGTACAGTGGACCCTCGGTTATCGGCCGCTCCTGTTATCGGCCAACTCTGTGATTGTGTGTGTGTGTGTGTGTGTGTGTGTGTGTGTGTGTGTGTGTGTGTGTGTGTGTGTGTGTGTGCGTGGTGTGTGCGTGCGTGCGTGTGTGTGTGTGTGTGTGTGTGTGTGTGTGTGTGTGTGTGTGTGTGTGTGTGTGTGTGTGTGTGTGTGTGTGTGTGTGTGTGCACTCACCTATTTGTGGTTGCAGGGGTCAAGTCTTAGCTCCTGGCCCTGCCTCTTCACTGGTTGCTACTGGGTCCTCTCTCTCCCTGCTCCATGAGCTTTATCAAACCTCGTCTTAAAACTGTGTATGGTTCCCGCTTCCACTACATCACTTTCTAGGCTATTCCACGGCCTGACAACTCTATGACTGAAGAAATACTTCCTAATATCTCTCTGACTCATCTAACTCTTCAACTTCCAGTTGTGACCTCTTGTTTTTGTGTCCCCTCCTTTGCACTTTCTCTAATTTGTTGACGTGCTTGATCAAGTGCGGGCTCCAAACAGGTGCTGCATACTCCAGTATGGGCCTGACGTATACGGTGTACAGTGTCTTGAACGATTCCTTACTAAGGTATCGGAACGCTGTTCTCAGGTTTGCCAGGCGCCCATATGCTGCAGCAGTTATCTGGTTGATGTGTGCTTCCGGAGACATGTCGGTGTTATACTCGCCCCAAGATCTTTCTCCTTGAGCGAGGTTTGCAGTCTTTGGTCACCTAGCCTATACTCCGTCTGCTGTCTTCTGTGCCCTTCCCCGATCTTCATGACTTTGCATTTGGCGGGGTTAAATTCAAGAAGCCAGTTGCTGGACCAGTTGTCCAGTCTGTCCAGGTCTCTTTGAAGTCCTGCCTGATCCTCATCTGATTTAATTCTCCTCATTAACTTCACATCATCTGCGAACAGGGTCACTTCTGACCCTGTCATTCACATATACCAAAAATAGCACTGGTCCTAGGACCGACCCCGGTGGGACCCCACTTGTCACAGGTGCCCACTGTGATACCTCATCACGTACCATGACTCGTTGTTGCCTCCCTGTCAGGTATTCTATGATCCATTGCAGTGCTCTTCCTGTTATATGCACCTGATCCTCTAGCTTCTGCACTAATCTTTTGTGAGGAACTGTGTCAAAGGCCTTCTTGCAGTCCAGGAAGATGCAATCAACCCACCCCTCTCTCTCATGTCGTACATTTTTTTTTTGTGTGTGTGTGTGTGTGTTTGTGTGTACATACGTACGTTGATAAATTAGACACATGTGCAACTCTTGGGTATCTTTATTGAGGAAACATTTCGCCACACAGTGGCTTCATCAGTCCATACAAAGGAGAATCTTGAAGAACAGGAGGAGAATGAGGTAATCAGTCCCTCAACCTTGAGTCGATGTGGTCAGTCCATCAATCTTGAATAGAATACGGCATAAGTGCGGAGAAGGAGCTTATAAACCGTTGGTAGGAGAGGTGCAGCAGTCATA